GTGAACCATAATTTTTTATGATCCATGCAAACAAACATTTTTGCACAGTCAATAAGACACAAATACACATTCTTCTGATATTCTCTGCTTATAGCCAGGATCCATCTGACATCAGCAATGATATCCCTGGTACTATGGCCCCTTCTAAAACAAGTGTGCAATTCTGTTAGTTCCCTGTCAATGTACTGCTCTGTCACTTTTGAATGATCTTCAAAAATATTTTGTTTGCAAGAAATATTAATGATATTGTCTGATAGTTTCCACATTCTGTTAGATCACCTTTATTGAGAATGGAGACAAATATAGATCTCTTTCAGTCAGTTGGCCAGGTAGCTGTCCACCAAATTTCCTGGCTTAAACTGGTGAGTCCATTCAGGGCTGCACCTGTTAGTTAAAACATGTCAACTGTTATTCAATCAATCTCTAGGAACCTATATTTTGCCAATGCCTTCATTGCTGTCTGAACTTCATCTCTCATCACCATTGATCATTATTCCTTACATTTTTTTGTGTCAACCAATTCTTTCTTTGTACAGAGATTCCACACTATACTTCAAAGGCTCTTTTCATTTAAATACAGTTAAATTAGAAATGATGATTTGATGGGTGAATGGAAGAAAGTGCTGTACTGTAATGCACATCTATTCAATATGCAGAGGTAACAAAGGGGAGAGGAGGGTCAGCTGAGCATCAGCTGGCATATCTTCACAAAGAGGCTGAGCAAAATTGTGAAACACAGTGGGAAATTATAATATATGGACAATCCTAGCGTGGACTGAAATGCCATGTTGCCTTGAGGTAAGATTGTGGAATTACATCTGAAGTATAATGAAGTTCAGTATGTTTAAATATTACGGGGTACCAAGAAGATGTGTGGTACCTCTCATTATACACAAAAATCAACTCAAGGTGGATCAGAGACCTACAGGTAAAACCCAAAACCGTAAAGATCATAAAATAAAAAGTAAGACCAGTCTTAGGTAGTCTAGCTTGTGGTATAAAAAAGGCTGACAAATACAGCCAGGAATATACAACCAGGTGAGGATGAAATTGATTAATGGGACCTTCCAAAGATTAAATCTCTGTGCCCGTCAAAAACATTTTTCAATATTGTAAAAGGAAAACCTACTGGGGGAAAAATACCTTTGACAATACCATTTCTGACAAGGGTCTCATATCAAAAGTTTACAAAATCCAACAGGGCCTCCACAAGAAAAAAACAGATAACAAAATTACAAAATGGACAAAAGACATGAAACGGCTTTTCAGAGAAAGGTATTCTGATGGCCAACAGACACATGGAGAAATGTTTCAGTCACTGGCAGTAAGAGAGATGTAAATAAAAATCACAATGAGGTACCATCTGACTCCAGTAATAGTGGCAAAATATAACAGGACAGCAAGTAATAAATGTTGGAAAAGATGTGGAGAGATAAGAACCCTTATACACTGTTGGCGGGATTGTAAAATGATAAAACCACCCAGGAAGGCATTTTGGTAGTTTTTTAAAAAGCTGAACATAGACATTCCATATGACCCAGCTATTCCACTACTTAGAATATGCTGTTGTTGTTGTTGTTATGTGCCGTCGAGTCACTTGCGACTCATAGCAATCCTGTGTACAACAATCCTAAACTCTGCTCTGTCCTGTGCCAATCACACCATCTCCAATACACCCATCCCTGAGTCACTGAATCAATCTACCTCATAGAAGGCCTTCCCCTCCTGCACTATCCCTCCACCATACCAAGCATAATGTCCCTCTCCAAGGACTGTCCCTCCTTACAACATGTCCAAAGTATGTTAGATGGAGTCTCAGAATCCTTGCCTCCAAGGAGCTGCCCAGTTTGCCCCTTTCCAGGATGAATCTGTTTGTTTTCCTAGCAGTCCATGGTGCCCTCAATACTCTTCTCCAGCACCACAGCCCAAAGACATCAATTCTCCTTCTATTCTCCTTAGTCATTGTCCAGCTCTCTGATGTATAACCAGTGATAGCAAAGACCACGGCCTGTATCAGACACACCTTAGTCTCTAGAAAGACACCATTGCTCTTCAGTACTTCGGAGAGGTCCCTAACAGCAGACTTTCCCATGGCAATACATCTTCTAATTTCCTGGCTACTGGCGGTGAGAGTGTTGACTGTGGAGCCAAGCAAACTAAAGCTGTGAGCAATTTCAATCTCTTCTCCATCCATCCTGATGTTCTGAATTGGTCCAGTGGTGTGAACCTTTGTCTTCTTGACATTGAGCCTCAATCCATATTGGAGGCTGCAGTCCTTGACCCTTTGTAGCAAGCACTTCAGGTCCTCCTCAGTTTCAGCAAGCAGGCATCTGCATATCACAGATTGTTGATAGATCTTCCACCAATCTTGACCCCACATTTCTCCTCATAGAGCCCAGCCTCCCGGGTAATCTGTTCTGCATACAGGTTGAAAGGTATGGAGACAGGACACATTCCTGGTGTATGCCCTTCCCAATTATACCCGGAGAAAATGAGAATTGAGACAGAAATGGAGATTTGTACAACAATGTTCGTAGTAATGTTATTCATTATCACAAGAACATGGAAACAGCCTGAATGTCCAACCACAACCGAATAGATTGAGAAATAGTGGTATATTCACTTAATGAAATAATATACAGCATGCAGGAATAATGATTTTGAAAATCACTACCCAAATTGGGAGAGACTGGAGAGCATTATGCTAAGTGAATTAACTCAGTGTCATAAGGACAAATATTGTTTAGGAAATTTAGTAGAATATTGTGTAAGAAATAGTGTAGAAATAGAAAGATAACTCATAAAATGTGTATGAGGATTCAAAGAGGGGAGGGGAGGAGCAGAAGGATGAAAATAGGTGGGGGAATAATCATAGGGTCACACAATTTAATGGGTAGAGGAAGAGGTGGATTTAGGAAATGGGAAGACACTGTGTGGAAAACAATATATACAAACTTTGTAAGCGAACCAGTATAATATAAAAATTTTAAATTTTTTTAAAAGATATGTCATGAGAAAGGTAGGCAGAGCATCTCACAAGCACTTGTAAGCAAGTGGAACCTTAAACTTCACACATTTATGTCTTAAATTGGCTATTATAGGAGCAGTTTGGAGACTATAGCAAATGATGCAATGAGACTATTTAGAAGATGTAGATGGCCATTGCAATTGTCCAGGTGATGTATGTTCAACCTATGTTCACCTTTTCTGACAAAGGTGCTGCAGTGTTCTTAATATTTTCCAGAAATCCACTCCACATATTTTTGTAAGTTAATCATAACCCTATTATCTTAGTTTCTACTGAAGCAATTAATAATACCTGGCAACAGTTCCCTTGTCTCCTGTAAGTCTTAAATGCCTGTCATACTCATTGCACAGCATTGGGGACTGCAGGGAAAGTTCTGGGTTTCTTGTCTGGAACATCAGAAGTCCTAAGGGGGATTCTGTCTTTGAAAAAGAAATAATACTGGACGTAGAAACGGGGTTCTACAAGGCAGTAAGACCTGAGGAACATGGCATTAAAGTTTCCAGAGGGGTCTGGGTGGCAGGAAACCAATCTTTATAAAACTTAGAATATAACATTTTCTAGAGTTCATAG